AAACGCTATTACTTGGCCAAATCGATCGTGGAAAATTAAAGAAAAATCGATTTTTCTTATTTTTGAAAAGTTATCAACGAGTCCCACTGTGCGAAAACTAAAAATAGTGCAAGCTCATGGAATAGCACGTTGGAAAGCCCATGAGGTGTACTTTCGAGATATAAACACTCCTGAAAGATTAATCGGGCAGATTTTTTTTAAAAAATATTTTTCCTAAAGTCAAGTGTTTCTAGAGGGAAACATAAAATGGCCCACTGTGCAGCAATAAAAATAGTGCACGCATATGAATGGCACTGCAGGAAAGCTCGTTCCAAGAGCTTTCTAAAACGCTATTACTTGGCCAAATCGATGGTGGAAAATTAGAGAAAAATCGATTTTTCTTATTTTTCAAAAGTTATCAACGAGTCCCACTGTACGAAAACTAAAAATAGTGCAAGCTCATGGAATAGCACGTTGGAAAACCCATGAGGTGTACTTTCGAGATATAAACACTCCTGAAAGATTAATCGGGCAGATTTTTTTTAAAAATATTTTTCCTAAAGTCAAGCGTTTTCTAGAGGGAAACATAAAATGGCCCACTGTGCAGCAATAAAAAATAGTGCACGCATATGAATGGCACTGCAGGAAAGCTCGTTCCAACAGCTTTCTAAAACGCTATTACTTGGCCAAATCGATCGTGGAAAATTAGAGAAAAATCGATTTTTCTTATTTTTCAAAAGTTATCAACGAGTCCCACTGTGCGAAAACTAAAGATAGTGCAAGCTCATGGAATAGCACGTTGGAAAGCCCATGAGGTGTACTTTCGAGATATAAACACTCCTGAAAGATTAATCGGGCAGATTTTTTTTTAAAAATAGTTTTCCTAAAGTCAAGAGTTTTCTAGAGGGAAACATAAAATGGCCCACTGTGCAGCAAGAAAAAATAGTGCACGCATATGAATGGCACTGCAGGAAAGGCCGTCCCAAGAGCTTTCTAAAACGCTATTACTTGGCCAAATCGAACGTGGAAAATTAGAGAAAAATCGATTTTTCTTATTTTTCAAAAGTTATCAACGAGTCCCACTGTGCGAAAACTAAAAATAGTGCAAGCTCATGGAATAGCACGTTGGAAAGCCCATGAGGTGTACTTTCGAGATATAAACACTCCTGAAAGATTAATCGGGCAGATTTTTTTTAAAAATAGTTTTCCTAAAGTCAAGAGTTTTCTAGAGGGAAACATAAAATGGCCCACTGTGCAGCAAGAAAAAATAGTGCACGCATATGAATGGCACTGCAGGAAAGGCCGTCCCAAGAGCTTTCTAAAACGCTATTACTTGGCCAAATCGAACGTGGAAAATTAGAGAAAAATCGATTTTTCTTATTTTTCAAAAGTTATCAACGAGTGGAATAGGTGTACTTTCGAGATATAAACACTCCTGAAAGATTAATCGGGCAGATTTTTTTTAAAAAATATTTTTCCTAAAGTCAAGTGTTTTCTAGAGGGAAACATAAAATGGCCCACTGTGCAGCAATAAAAAATAGTGCACGCATACGAATGGCACTGCAGGAAAGGTCGTTCCAAGAGCTTTCTAAAACGCTATTACTTGGCCAAATCGATCGTGGAAAATTAGAGAAAAATCGATTTTTCTTATTTTTCAAAAGTTATCAACGAGTCCCACTGTGCGAAAACTAAAAATAGTGCAAGCTCATGGAATAGCACGTTGGAAAGCTCATGAGGTGTACTTTCGAGATATAAACACTCCTGAAAGATTAATCGGGCAGATTTTTTTTTAAAAATATTTTTCCTAAAGTCAAGTGTTTTCTAGAGGGAAACATAAAATGGCCCACTGTGCAGCAATAAAAAATAGTGCACGCATATGAATGGCACTGCAGGAAAGCTCGTTCCAAGAGCTTTCTAAAACGCTATTACTTGGCCAAATCGATCGTGGAAAATTAAAGAAAAATCGATTTTTCTTATTTTTGAAAAGTTATCAACGAGTCCCACTGTGCGAAAACTAAAAATAGTGCAAGCTCATGGAACAGCACGTTGGAATGCCCATGAGGTGTACTTTCGAGATATAAACACTCCTGAAAGATTAATCGGGCAGATTTTTTTTAAAAAATATTTTTCCTAAAGTCAAGTGTTTCTAGAGGGAAACATAAAATGGCCCACTGTGCAGCAATAAAAAATAGTGCACGCATATGAATGGCACTGCAGGAAAGCTCGTTCCAAGAGCTTTCTAAAACGCTATTACTTGGCCAAATCGATGGTGGAAAATTAGAGAAAAATCGATTTTTCTTATTTTTCAAAAGTTATCAACGAGTCCCACTGTACGAAAACTAAAAATAGTGCAAGCTCATGGAATAGCACGTTGGAAAGCCCATGAGGTGTACTTTCGAGATATAAACACTCCTGAAAGATTAATCGGGCAGATTTTTTTTAAAAAATATTTTTCCTAAAGTCAAGCGTTTTCTAGAGGGAAACATAAAATGGCCCACTGTGCAGCAATAAAAAATAGTGCACGCATATGAATGGCACTGCAGGAAAGCTCGTTCCAACAGCTTTCTAAAACGCTATTACTTGGCCAAATCGATCGTGGAAAATTAGAGAAAAATCGATTTTTCTTATTTTTCAAAAGTTATCAACGAGTCCCACTGTGCGAAAACTAAAAATAGTGCAAGCTCATGGAATAGCACGTTGGAAAGCCCATGAGGTGTACTTTCGAGATATAAACACTCCTGAAAGATTAATCGGGCAGATTTTTTTTTAAAAATAGTTTTCCTAAAGTCAAGAGTTTTCTAGAGGGAAACATAAAATGGCCCACTGTGCAGCAAGAAAAAATAGTGCACGCATATGAATGGCACTGCAGGAAAGGCCGTCCCAAGAGCTTTCTAAAACGCTATTACTTGGCCAAATCGAACGTGGAAAATTAGAGAAAAATCGATTTTTCTTATTTTTCAAAAGTTATCAACGAGTCCCACTGTGCGAAAACTAAAAATAGTGCATGCACGTTGGAAAGCCCATGAGGTGTACTTTCGAGATATAAACACTCCTGAAAGATTAATCGGGCAGATTTTTTTTAAAAAATATTTTTCCTAAAGTCAAGTGTTTTCTAGAGGGAAACATAAAATGGCCCACTGTGCAGCAATAAAAAATAGTGCACGCATATGAATAGCACTGCAGGAAAGCTCGTTCCAAGAGCTTTCTAAAACGCTATTACTTGGCCAAATCGATCGTGGAAAATTAGAGAAAAATCGATTTTTCTTATTTTGAAAAGTTATCAACGAGTCCCACTGTGCGAAAACTAAAAATAGTGCAAGCTCATGGAATAGCACGTTGGAAAGCCCATGAGGTGTACTTTCGAGATATAAACACTCCTGAAAGATTAATCGGGCAGATTTTTTTTAAAAAATATTTTTCCTAAAGTCAAGAGTTTTCTAGAGGGAAACATAAAATGGCCCACTGTGCAGCAATAAAAATAGTGCACGCATATGAATGGCACTGCAGGAAAGGCCGTTTCAAGAGCTTTCTAAAACGCTATTACTTGGCCAAATCGATCGTGGAAAATTAGAGAAAAATCGATTTTTCTTATTTTTCAAAAGTTATTAACGAGTCCCAGCAAGAGCTTTCCGTATTTATATCCAGACATTCCATTCATTTTTCGCGTTATTTGAGTCATTTTAGAAATGAACAAAAAATATCAATTAAATGAAAACAACTTCTTGCTGTAATATTGAATAATTCTGACAAGAAGCGGGTGTAGCCTTAAGGCTGTATTTCTGTAGTTTTACGAAGCTGTTCTACCTCCTTATTGTACCATGGTAAATCTGCGCACAGTACCAAACTCTCATGTAGTCTGGTAATGTGCAGTACATTTAGACATATGAAAAATGTTAGAGGGAAGTAGCTATAATCTGTGCATTTTACCAAACTATCGCTAACATCGATGTTTTTTCACGATAGTCTGGTAATGTGCAATACATTTAGACATATGAAAAATGTTGGGAGGGAACTAGCTATAATCCAAACTATCGCTAACATCGATGTTTTTCCCGATAGTCTGGTAATGTGCAATACATTTAGACATATGAAAAATGTTGGAGGGAACAAAGTATAATCCACGGTACAATAATAAGGTAAGGTAGAGCTCCCAGCTAATAACAATTTGTTTTCTAAGTGTGGCCGACTTCAGCCAATTTTATGTATGTATTTGTTTGTAAAATCAATGATTGGAAGAAATTTATATTGCTGGACGCGCATTAATAATATTAACCAGATTTGCCATGGAATTGAAATATTGAACACTTAGGGTCATATTTATATATTTATGTGAGAACATCCAGGCATTTCATTCATCTTTCGCTTTATTTGATTCATTTTAGAAGAGGACAATAAATATCAAAATATGAAAACAATTTGTTGCCCATAATTTTGAATAATTCTTTCAGGTAGCGGGTATAGCCTTAAGGCTGTGTTTCTGTAGTTTTACGAAGCTGTTATACCTCCTTATTGTACCATGGTAAATCTGCCACATTACCTAACTATCACTAACATCGATGTTTTTCTCGATAGTCTGGTAATGTGCAATACATTTGGACATATGAAAAATGTTGGAGGGAACAAAGTATAATCCACGCTACAATAATAAGGTAAGGTAGAGCTCCCAGCTAATAACAATTTGTTTTCTATTTGTTTGTAAAATCAATGATTGGAAGAAATTTATATTACTGGACGCGCATTAAAAATATTAACCAGATTTGCCATGGAATTGAAATATTGAACACTTAGGGTCATATTTATATATTTATGTGAGAACATCCAGGCATTTCATTCATCTTTCGCTTTATTTGATTCATTTTAGAAGAGGACAAAAAATATCAAAATATGAAAACAATTTGTTACCTATAATTTTGAATAATTCTTTCAGATAGAGGGTATAGCCTTAAGGCTGTGTTTCTGTAGTTTTACGAAGCTGTTATACCTCCTTATTGTACCATGGTAAATCTGCCACATTACCTAACTATCACTAACATCGATGTTTTTCTCGATAGTCTGGTAATGTGCAATACATTTGGACATATGAAAAATGTTGGAGGGAACTAGCTATAATCTGTGCACATTACCAAACTATCGTTAACATCGATGTTGGAGGGAAATATTGTTATTGAAATATTGTTATGTTGATTTGTATTGAAGAACAGGACACCGAAACTTGAGTAGGTATACATTTTTGTGAATTGTTATTGTTTAATATTAATAAAATTCTTCACCTTTTCAGACAAAAACACGAATTGTATTGCCATGGATGAGAGAACAGCTTTTGAAAAATGAAAATTGGATAATAAAAAGAAAATGCGAAATATGCATCGGATGTTGGAGGGAAATATTGTAATTGTTGATTTGCATTGAAGAACAGGACACCGGAAGCTTGGGTAGGTATACATTTTTGTGAATTTTTATTTGTTTAATTTTAATAAAATTCTTCACCTTTTCAGACAGAAACACGAATTGTATTGCCATGGATGGGATAATAAAAACAAAATACGAAATATGCATCGGATTCTCTTCAAATGTTACGCATCCTAATATTGATGACACATGATCGGTGTGAAAATGGGATATATGTTCAACCTCCTCCACAACGAGTCAGCATTTTGAATAACAGAGCGGTAATAAAAAGCATTGAAGAACAAGACAGCTGGAGCTTAGGTAGGTATATATTTTTGTGAATTTTTATTGTTTAATTTTAATAAAATTCTTCACCTTTTCAGACAGAAACACAAATTGTATTGCCATGGATGGGAGAAAAGCTCTTGAAAAATGAAAATTGGATAATAAAAACAAAACACGAAGTATGCATCGGATTCTCTTCAAATTTTACGCATCCCAATAATGATGACACATGATCGGTGTGAAGATGTAATAAAAGGTGAAGGTAATAAGAGGCAAAATAAACATCCGAATCTCTTCAAATTTTACACTTTGGAATATTTCTACTATGGTATGAAGATGATGGATATTTCAAATTCTTATAACTCTCATATCTTGTGGAACAAGTCAGTGATTATGTGTGAACTTGTGATATAAAAATATTTCTGTCAACCAGAGATCAAGAGTGGAATTCTGTTTTGAGTTTCCGATTAAAGTCAGTGAAATTGAAATGCTTATAATAGCGGTAGTTAACGAGAAAGTTAGCGATGAAATCAAGTGTAACTTATTATTTATATCGAGATTTTGTGTTTCAAATTTTTGTCGGTAACTCAAAAATGAGTTAGAGAATCCCACTACAGATGTGCCTTATGGTATATAAGGAAATTAGTATCATCGACTTAAAATAACTTATGTAGTTGTTTTATTGATTATAGTGACAGATTTCCACACAACCCATGAGGTACTGTCCCTGTGCGTTGCCATTTGTTTTACTTGGTTGGCTTCCCCTATAGGCCTACATACCAAGTTCTAACTTCTTACTACTTGTAATTAGAACTAATTAGATGTAACCATTACATATAATTTTAAAACATATAATAAAGCAATAAATTAATAAAGTTTTCCTGATATGTTGGTAAAAACACTTAAAGTTGTCAGTTATTTTACTTGGTTGACTTCCCTTAAAGGCATACTTTCCAAGATACTACTTCTAACTACATGTAAGTAAGACTTATGGGTGTAACATTTAATATAATCTAAAAATAAATAATAAAGGAATAAATTAACAGCGTGTTCTTGATGTTTTGGTAAGAACATTTAAAGTTGTCATTTATTTTACTTGGCTGACTTCCCTTAAAGGCCTACTTTCCAAGATACTACTTCTAACTACATGTAATTAAAACTAATGGGTGTAACTTTTAATATAATTTAAAAATATACAATGATGGAATAAATTAATAGCGTGTTCTTGATATGTTGGTAAAAACACTTAAAGTTGTCATTTATTTTACTTGGCTGACCGCCCTTAAAGGCCTACTTTCCAAGATACTACTTGAGAACATAAAAACACCGTTGCCTCTTTTTTTACTTGGTTGGCATCCCTACTGGCCTACTTACCAAGTTTCTCATATTGCACTTATATTTATATTGCATTAGAGTTATTATATGTACTGTAATCGTTCCTAAATCTATATTTATCGCTTATTTTTAGAAACAATTTATTTGACATTGCAAATTTCACACAAAAATTGTGTATTAACACTAGCATAGTAAAATTTAAAACAGGCTTCACAAACGGATCGGGTACAACTGCAACATATATTTGAGTGTGAACCATTACGACCGCAATGGATGCAAATAGTTTTGGTTGGGTCACTATATTCTTCCATTAAACGTGTCATGTATTCTCTATATTGGATTTGACATTCAAGATTTGTCAGTGGTTTATTTAGTAGTGGTGATTCTACATACTGTGATACAAATACTCCACAATTATAGGAATCAACCTGATAGTCATGTGGTAATAAATTTGTAGTCCAGTTACGAACATTGTATTTGTTTTTAAATATGTTAAAGAAAATTTTTGTCAATTTTACATGATTTGCTCTTTTCCGAGAGTTTAAATAGTGAAATACTTTATTTTTTGTATCAAGGTAAATTAAGGTAAATTGTATTGAATGTAATATTGGGATAAAAATTTTTTCATACTTATCTAATGGGAGAGGAAAATATCTTGAACTGTAAAATATTGTTTCACCTTCGTGAGAAGCCGTAGAGAATGACTTTCTATCTTGGTCGCGGTGTGTTAATATTGTTAAAAATATATCAACATTGCTATTAAATAACATTTCTGCATTTCGCAAACTTTTAATCTCCTCTACGCCAATAAATGTAAAAATTGGCAAAGGCAAATTTAAATCCCGGTATAGTTTTTCATATTTAAGCAACACATAACTTCTGGTTTGACTTAGATTATTGGGAAGCTGTTGAAAATTCTTAAGGATTTTTTTAATACCTATATCTTTTGGTATTTTTTGTTTGACTTTCAGCGGCGTTCTTTTCCATACGTCTTCCTCTTCAAAACCTTTTTGAGTGTTTCTATTTTTTTTAATTTTTAATAACTGTCGCGGAGTTATTTTTTTCTTAGATTTGGTTTTAAGTCTCCTTTCATTTTTGTTTCTTTTTTTTGGATTTAAATGAAAGTGTCTTATTCTTTTTAGTTTTGCTTGTGCATAAATATAAGCATTCCGTGTATATGTAGTAGCGCGAATATTCCTGGTCTTTTTCAGTAATCTATTTTTAATTACATTGAAGTATGATTCTGCGGGGCTGTTAGCTATGCTGGTATTTTCGTTATCAACAAAACGACCCATTAAATTGGTCCATAAGGGTGCGTATGGGGCATATTTTGTTAATATAGTTTTAGCAAAGTCTTCATTAAAATATGCATTCGTTTTTCCTCCGTCCCTGATATTTTTTTTCACGTCACAATATAATTGTAATGCTCGTACATAAAAAGGACTTTTTTTATATAAGGAATGTGGTTTGTTCTTAGAGCTGGTATTGTTTACATTAGACGTTTCAATAGTCGAACATTCCAAAGAAGAATTTTCAACAAAAGATTTTTCAATTCCTGAAGGAGCAGCATTCTCCGCTCCGAGTGCAGAAGTATCAACTACCGAAGTATCAGCAGTCTCACTATTGACAATCAAATCATCTATGTCACAGTCTTCTTCTGGAATAATATGTTCATGGGCAGGATTTTCTTTTTCAATTGACTCTAAAGACTGTATTGCCTCCTTAACAATTTTGGAATTTGACGGACTAAGTAACAGAATGAATATATTTTGAACCCATGCATAAAATTGGGAAAGATCACTGATATTAATGGCTACATAAATTTGCCATTTTAGAAACTTGACAATGTCCTCATTGAAATTGCATTTCTTAATGTCGTTTACGACAACCTTCATAAAATGTGCACAGCATAATTGGACAATTGTATATGATGGTCGTCTATTTGTCAAACTATTAGCATTGCAACACTGCAAATATCTGTCCATAGTGCATATATTATGTCTTTTATTGAATGTTATCAGAATTGCATTTATGCTCGCACGACTCCAGTCCGTACAGAAACGTTTTGCAATTGGCCATGTTATTTGATGTTTATGACAATATGTTTCAATATATTGCAAAAATCGTACGACGTCTCCAGTGAAATGACTACTCAGAAATGCCTCAGTGATTGGAATCACAAATCCTCTTTTAGTGCCCCCATTTTCTTTGATATGTGCTATCATGCTATACAAATAAATTGGCTTGGATGTTTTGTCGAATTTTCGTAAAATACTTGAAGTACTATCAAGGAATAATGTATTTCTACTTAATTGCATTATTCTTTCTTCTTTTATTTTCGTTAATTGTAACTGTTCCTTTGTAAACAAATACACATCTTGGATTGAAGCATATTGTATGTATTCATCCCAATTTTTGTCCCTTTGTTGTTTAATGAGGTCGTAAAAATTGTCTTTGCCGCGATCATGTTTCCTCATTTCCTCTCCTTTTAATTTTCTTGCGGCTTCCTGGGTTAATAAGTTTTGGTTGTTACCCAGATCCCATAAAGTTTCTGACATTTGATATATTTTCCTATCGACCCAGGTGGATGGTTCTAACTCTCTAATCTCATCCCTGGCCAGTATGCGTTCTACACCACGTACTTGATGTGGTATTTCTATATCAGGTGGGTGTACTACTTCTTCTTGTGTCGAAAAATAGTCGAACTTCTTACTCTCGCCAGTGTATACTTTGAATTTATATTTTCCACATCCGTAATTATTGTAGACACAATTAGCATACAAGTTGATTATATTATTTTTATTTATACGTGTATTATAATAATTTAACGGACACACATTATTAATAACTTTAAATTTTTGACGTACCAGGTCTTGAATATATTTTATAAATATTTTCGAATAAATATTTGAAATATTGGTCAAATACACTTCTTCGCTGTTTGAGAAAGTAATTGTACCGCCTAATGTAAAGCTATTACTATCCGAAGATTTTGATTTAACGCTTTTTACTTCTACGTTTGGAACCACATCTAATTTCATTTTCTTTCTCACTACTTTATACTCCTCAAGAACAATATCTGTATTCGATGTAACATCGATAATATTACCACATTGTGTGGAGCCTAAAACATCAGTTTTATCGATGGTTGTTGTGTTCCTTTCTCCATCGTTGTTTAAAGAACGTAAATTAGATCGCAAAGTACTTTCTGGAAAAATATTGCTGAAGGTTTCTTTTTCAGGAACGTTAAAATCTACTACTTTACGCTCCTCAAGAACAATGTCTGCATTCGATTTAACATCGGTTACATTGTCACATAGGGTAGAACTTAATATACCGGTTTTGCTAAAGTTTGTAGAGTTTTCCTCTTCTTTATTGTCTGCATGACATTCGGGTAAACTTGTTTCAAGCATACTTTCAGGAGCATTATAGGTAGTTACAATATTTTTTATTTGAGCGTCCACACTATTACATACAGAACCCTTGCCATTTACATTATCCATACTATTTGGAGTATTGTTATTACTATAGTCATTATTTTGGTCTTCATTGAAAAAAATATCTACGAACTCCTCAAAGGAAAGTACTTCACTTTTATGATTTGTGTGATGAGTTTCATCAAATTTTCGATCTGATTGGTCTTCCGGGTTGGAATCCTTTTTCGAGTATTCTACGTTACTACGTTCATTTCCCAATTCCATAATATTATTGTTGCTTGATTCGATATTTATAGTAACAAATTCGTTAGATATTATACCCATGTTGGTATTCATGTTTTCATCAACTATGTTTGCTTTGTTAATACTATGTACCTGTTTAACTGTAGCATTTTCCGCAGCAAGGTTTTCTGAATTATCAGGTATCTCATTAGGATATTCTGTTGATCTATCATCGGTGGGAAATCCAAAATGGCGAATTATTTCCTCGTAACAATCCATTAGATTGTTCTTGAAACATAGTGTTTTTGTATTTTGTAGCAAATCATCGAATGTCAAATTTTCTGAATCCTCAAAAGATTAATTTTGTAGAAATCAATACGTTATAATTATTATTGTTAATTTTTCTGCATTTAACGTTATGTACTATAATAGATTGGTAATAATTTTTACCATATGTTTCCCAAATTCAAATTGGTTGTGACTGGTCAATATTAGGGATAACGATTCACAAAAATGAATTTTAGTTAAAATGTTCTACTTTATGGACTGTTAAGTATTGAGAGTTTGAAATACCAAATTTGAAACATCTTGGATGAAAAATGTCAATATATTCATCAAAATGCGGAATATCAATTGCAATAATTCTTATTCATGTATACAAAAAAGCATGTGCATTGTGCAAGTTTGCAAGGAAAATCCGAAACTGCACAACGATAGAAGTTGAACACATCAGATAGAAAATATTTTCTATCTGTGAACACATCAGATAGAAAATAGTTTCATTAAGAGGCGTATCAAGATAACATGGAAACAATTTACTTTAGAATTGTGACAAATATTCGAATCAGTTGTCAGTAAATATTTAAATTACAATATTATTCATCACATGGAAAGTTTGTAGTACTTACTGCAGCTTTAAAACGAGAGAATACTCGCTTTCTTTGTTCTCTGCTGTCACAAATAATTTTACCGTAGCTCAATGTGCGTGGATAAGTTAAGTTGCACTTATTTAGCTTTTCGAACAATTCTACATACTTAGTGTTGTCACTTAACTTCTTAAAACTATCTATAGACTCTCCCTTCCTTTTATAATTCAGAAAGAAAAGCCTACATATATAACAAAATAATTTTCTTTTAACGTTTAACATTTTTGCTTTTCGTTTTCGAAACAAACTGAAAAATAAATGTCGACGCTGCACTTCAATTTAGACGCCGACATGTGTAATAATTACGGTGCCGTTAACTTTATAAGTTATTTGAAAAGCGTATTTAACGTAAAACAACATATAGTCAATATGTTCATAAATTAAAAAACAAAGCAACATTAAAAGTAAAAATATTAATTTAATTAAAGCTGCAAGTTATGTCCGCTGTATAGATTCCTTTTCTTAATATTATAATTTTTTAGGAGTTCATGACATCTTAAGTACCCTCAGGGCCCTAAATTAATACATTAATTATGATAAATGTGTTTGTGTATGTGTGAGTTGTACATTATATAATACATAATATCATAAATATATACAAATTTTACAATAGATGTTTGTTTTTATAAAAACGTTAGACGTAAACGTCTGTGCGAAAAACAATTTAAAGCGTTACAACAATCGGGTACTTATTTTATCGCCGTCAGCAAACACCAAAAGGTTACATAAAGTAACCGCTTTCTTTGGGTTAACGCCTGGCGTAAATAACAGTGGCTTTGATGTGCTAAAAAAATAACGGAGTTTGGCAAAAGAAAGCTAAAAAGTTTAAGTGAAGCCTCGACAAAATAATAAGAATTCGTGAAACTCCTTCGTATTCGTTCATTTGAAAAATGGTAAGTTTTGTATAATAATATTTGAAAAGAACTTGTATTATATAAATTATTTTTGTCAATATCTAGTATCCATTTAAGATACCGCTTAATTTGCAAGTTAGCGTGGCTCCAGGTAACAGGAGAAACAATCAGTTTCTGCAAAGACAGAGACTAATAAGAAAATTCGAAAAAAAAATCGAGGCATTAAAAAGGCAACAGCCGGATGGGCGCAACAGGCAAGAACGTTATGGCCATCAATGGCCGAATACTCACAGCAGACAAGAACGTTATGGCCCACAACATTCGCATTATAATCAAGTGCAACAATACCGCTGCACACAATATCCAGAACCAACATTCCAGCAACACTCTCAGCAGTTTGTACCACAGTACTTTCCATCAAATTTTTTCCCAACATTTCAACCTAATTTTGTCCACACTCCACAACAGCCGATGCATTTACAGGCACAACAACACCACATAGTGCAGACTCACCAACAGCAAGTGCATATCCAGCACCAGCAGTCGCAACAACACCAACAGCCAGTGGCACAACATTTTCAGCCACAGCTGTCGCAACATACAAACCACCACTATGTACAAATCCAACAACAGCCAGTTTCACATCATATCCAGCACCAGCAGTCGCAACAACACCAACAGCCAGTGGCACAACATTTTCAGCCACAGCTGTCGCAACATACAAACCACCACTATGTACAAATCCAACAACAGCCAGTTTCACATCATATCCAGCACCAGCAGTCGCAACAACACCAACAGCCAGTGGCACAACATTTTCAGCCACAGCTGTCGCAACATACAAACCACCACTTTATAGAAATTCAACAACAGCCAGCTTTACATCATATTCAGCCACAGCAATCGCAACAACATGAAGAACAAAATCACCAATCCGTATATGTTCAACAACAGCCATTTCCACAACGAAAGCGTCATCCCCTACAACCCTCGTCTTTTAATAATTTATCTACCGAATTGGAAAATCTCAATTTGAGGCAGAGTAAAGACAGTGATCGCGTAACGGATGTGGAATCAAGCCATGAAAATGAGGAAAATAATGAAGGTGGTACATTTCTATAGAAGCGAGGTTTTTTTTTGTTTTTGAATTAATCTATTTTTTAGTTTGTTTTTACATTGATTCTTAAGTTTGCGTTTTTCTTATTTTTTTACTACAATTAGTAATCGTTTTTTTCGTTTTAATAAAATTAATTATATTAGATATGAATATTTTATAAGCATATTCGTTTTTATAAGATACTAGCTGGCCCGGTCCGCGTTGCCGGGCCGTAGTTTTTGTCTATTATGCATATATTCCCAAGCATAATTGTTCACAGATATGACTGATATAAGTGTTCACGTACAGGTCGATTTAAAGTGTTTTAAAATACCTGTACCCATTTTTAACCAGTGGGCTTCAATATTTAAACCGTGGGCTTCAACTGTGTGGATGTGCTATACAAATCTATTAAAAAGTATATATCAATCTTATCGCCATATAAGGGATCAAATTAATTTTTAATATGGTAAAAATCGTAGCAAAATCTTCCAGTCATATGAGCAGTAATTTGGAATTTGCTGTATTTTGTATACTACATAATTGAGGGCTGAATGATTTAAGAATAGCCAAAGTTAATTACTTTTTTAAACCCATTAGCAACTTAGATTGTGCATTAGAGTCCTCATAAGTCCCCCTAACCATGTCAGTCTGTTTGTCCGCCAAAAGGTGGACTTGGATAAAAATTCTAAAATTTGTAGATATGTTGAAATTTTAGTGTAAGATTTTCACCCCCCTAATACGCATTATTAGCCAAATTCTTTGAAATGTGGTTAAATTAGGAGGTACCTTCTTTATATGGGCACTACTCCGAAACATCGACCTACATTGAAAACTTTCTTCTACCCCTTATAATCCAAGATGACAAATAGAGGCCAAATCAAAAAATATAGCAGAACAATATAGCATGTCATAGCATTTCGCGTGATTTAAATAAGTAAAAATAGTTTTATCCACCTCATAATTGAGGGCAGAATGATAAGATGGGAATTAATTTTATTTGCCATTTAAATTGTAAGTTGGAGACCCCTTAAAGTCCATATTTTCATCATAGGATAATTCAATGATGATTAAACAAATATTCGGTCCCGTGCTACTTTCTTATATTTGTAATTTGTTCATGTTTCCACAATTTATTTCATATGGATGCACATCCCAAATCTACGTTCCCAACCAATATTCTCTTGGGGGTTAAAAATTCAATAGAATACAAAATGTTCTTTTCTGACCACACATTAGATGTGAAAGTGGACTTGGGGATACTCCAATGTGGGGACTTTACTTAAATAAATTCCTATGTGGCAATTATCTGTATGATGGTTCCCTACCCCAGAGTAGCATAAATACAACCTTTAGCCAAGTCAATTAATGAATGTGGTCAAGACCAAAATGGGCCCTACTCTGAAAATTTCAAACTTTATGCGAAGAGGTTCTCTACCTCCTTAGAAACAAAAATGCCAAATAATGGCTAAAATATTAAAAAAGTGACCAAGACACCAAAAATAGCTTAAATCATACGATGGTTATATAAATATGAAATCGGGTTGTCCCTTATCCGTGAGTTATGATCGATATCATGACCTATCTTGAATGTTTGGGAAGAATTTCTGGAAGGATAGAAATCTTTATCTTACTAAAAGTCCCATTCGCTCTACTATTTTCCACCCTTTATATTTGGTATTTTTCTGATTGTACATTGGACGGATTATTGTGACAGGAAAGAAGTAGTTCCACGCTTTGAAATGATCCCCATTAGGCTTTTTCGGCAATTTTTGTTTGTTCAAATGTGTTCGCATCTTCCAGCTGAACCACGATGTCGGCCCTGGAGTTGAAAGGTAGATGTCAGTTGACATCGTATTTCCTACTTATTTAATTTTTTGGTGAAAATTTGTATATAGTGAAAAATTATTCTTTATTTTGTTCGCAAAAAAATTACTGAATTCAATTAGATAATACAAATTGAAAAAAAAAATTGACAAAAGAAGAATAACACATTGAAAAAATCTTCAACTTGTTCGCTGATTTTTTTACAGCAAATGTTTAAAGATCCTTATATAGTTTGTCAATAGAATGTACTTCTATTTTAAAATTCGATTCCATTAAATTATTTCGACATCATCTATTCCGTTTCGCCACCACATAATTCGGTACTACGCTTCCATGTAACTCGCCATCAATTTCATTTCTCAAGAAATCAAGTCAATTAAATAAATTGGTATTAATATTTGAATTCAAAAAAAAAAAAAAATAAATAAAAAACACTACAAATGTACATTAGAAAAAAGTAAGTAAAAATGGAAAAAATCATGCAAAATAAAACATTACTATTGTACATTTCAAAAGTCAAAATGAAAATGTTAAAATATCACATTTTTACGCGATTTTTTTGGATATTATCCTTTTCGGAGAGGAGAAAATTCCGAATTTGTTTGAATCGTTAAAATCAGTCCAGCGGTTCTTAAGTTATAAGCGTAGTAACTAACACAACTTTCTTTTATATATATAGATGAAATAAATATTTTATAACTCGTAATTTGCCCTCTTTTCTCATTTCAAAATCAGAGCTATTATAAGTAGATAATACTAATTTCGTTCTACAGAGGTTGTTATAAAGTATACACTAATTTGATTTTCTACACTGTTGCGAAAAGACTTAAAAAATACAATGTACGATTTGGTATATCAAATTGGAAAAATTGTGTGCAATATAAAAAACAAGTTAAAAAGTATCAGTCGGTTCTATGGACAGATGTATACCCTCAATGTCCGTTTACTCAAATACATATTTCAACATGCTTGACTTGGAAAGGTTCCGAAAGAATAGGACAATATTATCCTAACAACGTGCCAGATTTGCACTTTTTGTCTGTTCCAAACCCAGCAATCATTTACTGTTTTTTGCTTTTTTTCAATACCTCAAAGAAAAATTAGTTGTCTTATTAAATAGTTTTAAATCTTTGCATTTCTGAGTACTTCCTCTACTACATATAAGATACATATGTGATAATTGTCGAAAATGTTGAAATGTGCTGGATGCAACATACATAGTTGGCCGAAGTGTCCCACCTCATCCAATACGGATAAGAATAGTGCAAAATTTAAAGAAAAACGAACATTTATTATCAATTTTATGCTTATATTTATAGATTTAAATTTTTTGTGGCGGACATAGCAAAAGGCTGATAAATCTTATATTCACATCAATAGTGGGATTCTCTAACTCATTTTTTGAGTTACCGACAAAAATCTTTAACTTCGAAATCCAAAATCTGGGTATAAACACTAAATTAAAGTTGACAACATTGGTAGGTCTTACATAATACTTTTATTTCATCGCTAACTTTCCGAAAAAAAAACTCGTAATTACCGAAATTATAAGCATTTTAATTTCACTGACTTTTGTCGGTAACTCAAAACAAAATTCCACTATTGATCTCTGGTTGACAGAAATATTTTAATATACCAAGTTCACATAGAATCACTGACTTGTTCCGCATGTTATGAGAGCTATAAGTATTTGAAATTGTGATCATTTGTGGCGGAGGTACCAGAATAAGACCAATATCCAACATCTTCATACCACATCTTGTTGTTCCGAAGTGTAAAATTTGAAGAGATTCGGATGCTTATTTTGCCTTTTATTACCGTTTAGTTCTATATATATCCCATCTTCACACCGATCATGTGTCATCAATATTGGGATGCGTAAAATAAAGAGAATCCGATGCATATTTCGCATTTTGTTTTCATTATGCAATTTTCAAGTTTCTGTCTGAAAAGGTGAAGAATTTTATTAAAATTAAACAATAAAAATTCACAAAAATATATACCTACCTAAGCTCCAGGTGTCTTGTTCTTCAATGCTTTTTATTACCGCTCTGTTATTCAAAATGCTGACTCGTTGTGGAGGAGGTTGAACATATATCCCATTTTCACACCGATCATGTGTCATCAATATTAGGATGCGTAAACTTTGAAGAGAATCCGATGTCTGAAAAGGTGAAGAATTTTATTAAAATAAAACAATAAAAATTCACAAAAATGTATACCTACCCTAGCTTTCGGTGTCCTGTTCTTCAATACAAATCAACAATTACAAAATTTTCCTCCAACATCCGATGCATATTTCGCATTTTCTTTTTATTATCCAATTTTCATTTTTCAAGAGTTTTTTTCCCATCCATGGCAATACGATTCTCCCATCCATGGCAATACAATTCGTGTTTCTGTCTGAAAAGGTGAAGAATTTTATTAAAATAAAACAATAAAAATCCACAAAAATGTATACCTACCCAAGCTTCCGGTGTCCTGTTCTTCAATACAAATCAACAATTACAAAATTTCCCTCCAACATCCGATGCATATTTCGCATTTTCTTTTTATTATCCAATTTTCATTTTTCAAGAGTTTTTCTCCCATCCATGGCAATACAATTCGTGTTTCTGTCTGAAAAGGTGAAGAATTTTATTAAAATTAAAAAAAAAAAATTCACAAATAGGTATACCTACCCAAGCTTCCGGTGTCCTGTTCTTCAATGCAAATCAACAATTACAATATTTCCCTCCAACATCCGATGCATATTTCGCATTTTCTTTTTATTATCCAATTTTCATTTTTCAAAAGCTGTTCTCTCATCCATGGCAATACAATTCGTGTTTTTGTCTGAAAAGGTGAAGAATTTTATTAATATTAAAATATAAAAATTCACAAAAATGTATACCTACCCAAGTTTCGGTGTCCTGTTCTTCAATACAAATCAACATAACAATATTTCAATAACAATATTTCCCTCCAACATCGATGTTAACGATAGTTTGGTAATGTGCACAGATTATAGCTAGTTCCCTCCAACATTTTTCATATGTCCAAATGTATTGCACATTACCAGACTATCGAGAAAAACATCGATGTTAGTGATAGTTAGGTAATGTGGCAGATTTACCATGGTACAATAAGGAGGTATAACAGCTTCGTAAAACTACAGAAACACAGCCTTAAGGCTATACCCTCTATCTGAAAGAATTATTCAAAATTATAGGTAACAAATTGTTTTCATATTTTGATATTTTTTGTCCTCTTCTAAAATGAATCAAATAAAGCGAAAGATGAATGAAATGCCTGGATGTTCTCACATAAATATATAAATATGACCCTAAGTGTTCAATATTTCAATTCCATGGCAAATCTGGTTAATATTATTAATGCGCGTCCAGTAATATAAATTTCTTCCAATCATTGATTTTACAAACAAATAGAAAACAAATTGTTATTAGCTGGGAGCTCTACCTTACCTTATTATTGTAGCGTGGATTATACTTTGTTCCCTCCAACATTTTTCATATGTCCAAATGTATTGCACATTACCAGACTATCGAGAAAAACATCGATGTTAGTGATAGTTAGGTAATGTGGCAGATTTACCATGGTACAATAAGGAGGTATAACAGCTTCGTAAAACTAAAGAAACACAGCCTTAAGGCTATACCCGCTACCTGAAAGAATTATTCAAAATTATAGGCAACAAATTGTTTTCATATTTTGATATTTATTGTCCTCTTCTAAAATGAATCAAATAAAGCGAAAGATGAATGAAATGCCTGGATGTTCTCACATAAATATATAAATATGACCATAAGTGTTCAATATTTCAATTCCATGGCAAATGTGGTTAATATTATTAATGAGCGTCCAGCAATATAAATTTCTTCCAATCATTGAATTTACAAACAAATACCTATACAAAATTGGCTGAAGTCGGCCACACTTAGAAAACAAATTGTTATTAGCTGGGAGCTCTACCTTACCTTATTATTGTACCGTGGATTATACTTTGTTCCCTCCAACATTTTTCATATGTCTAAATGTATTGCACATTACCAGACTATCGGGAAAAACATCGATGTTAGCGATAGTTTGGATTATAGCTAGTTCCCTCCCAACATTTTTCATATGTCTAAATGTATTGCACATTACCAGACTATCGGGAAAAACATCGATGTTAGCGATAGTTTGGTAAAATGCACAGATTATAGCTACTTCCCTCTAACATTTTTCATATGTCTAAATGTACTGCACATTACCAGACTACATGAGAGTTTGGTAATGTGCGCAGATTTACCATGGTACAATAAGGAGGTAGAACAGCTTCGTAAAACTACAGAAATACAGCCTTAAGGCTACACCCGCTTCTTGTCAGAATTATTCAATATTACAGCAAGAAGTTGTTTTCATTTAATTGATATTTTTTGTTCATTTCTAAAATGACTCAAATATCGCGAAAAATGAATGGAATGTCTGGATATAAATACGGAAAGCTCTTGCTGGGACTCGTTCATAACTTTTGAAAAATAAGAAAATTCGATTTTTCTCTAATTTTCCACGATCGATTTGGCCAAGTAATAGCGTTTTAGAAAGCTCTAGAAACGGCCTTTCCTGCAGTGCCATTCATATGCGTGCACTATTTTTTATTGCTGCACAGTGGGCCATTTTATGTTTCCCTCTAGAAAACTCTTGACTTTAGGAAAAATATTTTTTAAAAAAAATCTGCCCGATTAATCTTTCAGGAGTGTTTATATCTCGAAAGTACACCTCACGGGCTTTCCAACATGCTATTCCATGAGCTTGCACTATTTTTAGTTTTCGCACAGTGGGACTCGTTGATAACTTTTGAAAAATAAGAAAAATCGATTTTTCTCTAATTTTCCACGATCGATTTGGCCAAGTAATAGCGTTTTAGAAAGCTCTTGGAACGAGCTTTCCTGCAGTGCCATTCATATGCGTGCACTATTTTTTATTGCTGCACAGTGGGCCATTTTATGTTTCCCTCTAGAAAACACTTGACTTTAGGAAAAATATTTTTTAAAAAAAATCTGCCCGATTAATCTTTCAGGAGTGTTTATATCTCGAAAGTACACCTCATGGGCTTTCCAACGTGCTATTCCATGAGCTTGCACTATTTTTATTTTTCGCACAGTGGGACTCGTTGATAACTTTTGAAAAATAAGAAAAATCGATTTTTCTCTAATTTTCCACGATCGATTTGGGCAAGTAATAGCGTTTTAGAAAGCTCTTGGAACGAGCTTTCCTGCAGTGCCATTCATATGCGTGCACTATTTTTGATTGCTGAACAGTGGGCCATTTTATGTTTCCCTCTAGAAACACTTGACTTTAGGAAAAATATTTTTTAAAAAAAATCTGCCCGATTAATCTTTCAGGAGTGTTTATATCTCGAAAGAACACCTCATGGGCTTTCCAACGTGCTATTCCATGAGCTTGCACTATTTTTAGTTTTCGCACAGTGGGACTCGTTGATAACTTTTGAAAAATAAGAAAAATCGATTTTTCTCTAATTTTCCACGATCGATTTGACCAAGTAATAGCGTTTTAGAAAGCTCTTGGAACGAGCTTTCCTGCAGTGCCATTCATATGCGTGCACTATTTTTTATTGCTGCACAGTGGGCCATTTTATGTTTCCCTCTAGAAAACACTTGACTTTAGGAAAAATATTTTTAAAAGAAAATCTGCCCGATTAATTTTTCAGGAGTGTTTATATCTCGAAAGTACACCTCATGGGCTTTCCAACGTGCTATTCCATGAGCTTGCACTATTTTTAGTTTTCGCACAGTGGGACTCGTTGATAACTTTTGAAAAATAAGAAAAATCGATTTTTCTCTAATTTTCCACGATCGATGTGGCCAAGTAATAGCGTTTTAGAAAGCTCTTGGAACGACCTTTCCTGCAGTGCCATTCATATGCGTGCACTATTTTTTCTTGCTGCACAGTGGGCCATTTTATGTTTCCCTCTAGAAACACTTGACTTTAGGAAAAATATTTTTTAAAAAAAATCTGCCCGATTAATCTTTCAGGAGTGTTTATATCTCGAAAGTACACCTCATGGGCTTTCCAACGTGCTATTCCATGAGCTTGCACAATTTTTAGTTTTCGCACAGTGGGACTCGTTGATAACTTTTGAAAAATAAGAAAACTAGATTTTTCTCTAATTTTCCACGATTGATTTGGCCAAGTAATAGCGTTTTAGAAAGCTCTTGGAACGGCCTTTCCTGCAGTGCCATTCATATGCGTGCACTATTTTTTATTGCTGCACAGTGGGCCATTTTATGTTTCCCTCTAGAAAACACTTGACTTTAGGAAAAATATTTAAGAAAAAAAAATCTGCCCGATTAATCTTTCAGGAGTGTTTATATCTCGAAAGTACACCTCATGGGCTTTCCAACGTGCTATTCCATGAGCTTGCACTATTTTTATTTTTCGCACAGTGGGACTCGTTGTTAACTTTTGAAAAATAAGAAAAATCGATTTTTCTTTAATTTTCCACTATCGATTTGGCCAAGTAATAGCGTTTTAGAAAGCTCTTGGAACGGCCTTTCCTGCAGTGCCATTCATATGCGTGCACTATTTTTTCTTGCTGCACAGTGGGCCATTTTATGTTTCCCTCTAGAAAACACTTGACTTTAGGAAAAATATTTTTTAAAAAAAATCTGCCCGATTAATCTTTCAGGAGTGTTTATATTTCGAAAGTACACCTCATGGGCTTTCCAACGTGCTATTCCATGAGCTTGCACTATTTTTAGTTTTCGCACAGTGGGACTCGTTGATAACTTTTGAAAAATAAGAAAAATCGATTTTTCTCTAATTTTCCACGATTGATTTGGCCAAGTAATAGCGTTTTAGAAAGCTCTTGGAACGGCCTTTCCTGCAGTGCCATTCATATGCGTGCACTATTTTTTCTTGCTGCACAGTGGGCCATTTTATGTTTCCCTCTAGAAAACACTTGACTTTAGGAAAAATATTTTTAAAAGAAAATCTGCCCGATTAATTTTTCAGGAGTGTTTATATCTCGAAAGTACACCTCATGGGCTTTCCAACGTGCTATTCCATGAGCTTGCACTATTTTTAGTTTTCGCACAGTGGGACTCGTTGATAACTTTTGAAAAATAAGAAAAATCGATTTTTCTCTAATTTTCCACGATCGATGTGGCCAAGTAATAGCGTTTTAGAAAGCTCTTGGAACGACCTTTCCTGCAGTGCCATTCATATGCGTGCACTATTTTTTCTTGCTGCACAGTGGGCCATTTTATGTTTCCCTCTAGAAACACTTGACTTTAGGAAAAATATTTTTTAAAAAAAATCTGCCCGATTAATCTTTCAGGAGTGTTTATATCTCGAAAGTACACCTCATGGGCTTTCCAACGTGCTATTCCATGAGCTTGCACAATTTTTAGTTTTCGCACAGTGGGACTCGTTGATAACTTTTGAAAAATAAGAAAACTAGATTTTTCTCTAATTTTCCACGATTGATTTGGCCAAGTAATAGCGTTTTAGAAAGCTCTTGGAACGGCCTTTCCTGCAGTGCCATTCATATGCGTGCACTATTTTTTATTGCTGCACAGTGGGCCATTTTATGTTTCCCTCTAGAAAACACTTGACTTTAGGAAAAATATTTAAAAAAAAAAATCTGCCCGATTAATCTTTCAGGAGTGTTTATATCTCGAAAGTACACCTCATGGGCTTTCCAACGTGCTATTCCATGAGCTTGCACTATTTTTATTTTTCGCACAGTGGGACTCGTTGATAACTTTTGAAAAATAAGAAAAATCGATTTTTCTTTAATTTTCCACTATCGATTTGGCCAAGTAATAGCGTTTTAGAAAGCTCTTGGAACGGCCTTTCCTGCAGTGCCATTCATATGCGTGCACTATTTTTTCTTGCTGCACAGTGGGCCATTTTATGTTTCCCTCTAGAAAACACTTGACTTTAGGAAAAATATTTTTTAAAAAAAATCTGCCCGATTAA